TTGCTGCAGTCGGAGCCGTTGTTAGTACCCAGGACACCGCGCACGTTCTTGAAACATGCTAAGTACGCGCGTGGTAATTCCCCGTGGGGCCATACAGTGATTGCTAGAATTGGACCCCCCGATGGTTTTCTGCTGCAGGAGTCGTTTCAACAGCGATTAGGTTTTGCCGAACCACGATATGTACCTCAACCTCGTTGTTTAGATACAGCACGGGATCTTTCAGTCGCAATCACGAGTGCGGAGGCCCAACCAGCATTTGCCAATGCGTCACTGGAAGAACAACAGCGACGCACACAACTCACACAAGCACAACATGAACAAGGACACCACGGGGCAGCGGACACAGTGACACAACTTCAACAGAATGGCCACATATGGCCGGGAGCTCTGGAGTTAGCGACGGAAGTTAAGCGTCAATGCAGTGCGTGTTTGGGACAGGATACTATGAAGAAATGGGTTCACCCCTTGGTAGGTATATCCGCCCGTTACCCGTGGGATCACATTCAGGTGGATTATATCCCAATGCCGATTATATCCCGCCGGAAGAATAGATATGTCCTACACGTCCTGGACATAGCCTCGGGGTACTCGATTCTCCGCGCCACACCCGACAAATCCAAGGAGTCCACGGCGCAGACGTTGTTGGCAATCTTCGGCGAACATGGGTTCCCTAGGAAGATGCAGTCGAACATGGGAGCCGAATTTGTGGCCCTATCGTCCAGGAAGTCGGGATGATACACAAACTCTCACCGCCGTATCGTCTGCAAGTGTTGGGAGCTACAGAACGTCGGCATAAAGAAATCATCCGGTCCATCCGGATTTGCTGTGAGGCTACACCACACGCATGGGATGAGGGCCTCCCATTCACGATGCTGTACCAGAACTTATGGATGTCCCGTCGGCATAAGAGTGCTCTGTTTAGTGTATACTTCGGGCGCCGGCATGTCCCATTTTCGGATTTTACCGACGATACCCCAGACCACCAGCCGGTTACGAACGAAACGTGGGCTCAACGCCTAGATCGCCTCCAGGATACGATCTTACCAACGTTGCACAGGCTGACGATGCGGTACACGGACACTTTGACGAGGAACTTCGACCGACTTCATGCGGACGATCGGTGCACTTTGAGGAAGGCGATGTGGTGATGGTCAAATCGGAAGGGCGCACATCGAAGGCCATGCGCCATTTATTTGGTCTATATGTAATTAAAGGCCGGAACGGACAGGGGTACGACCTTGCTCATCGGAATGGTTCGATTCCATCGGAATTCAAGGGTCGCCTGGTTCGGGTTGAACTTATACGATTGGTCCACAGGAGTACGGATCCACCCCTGGATGAGAGTCTATGGCGTGAGGACGGGTCTGCGTTCCGACACATCATTAAACATGGCATGAATGATGACACGGGCCAGACGGGTACCTAGTGCGCTGGCGTGAAGGGGATCCTACCTGGGAAACGGCCGAGGCGTTTGACGATGCTAATGACATCGTGGCATACCACAAGGATACACAAACACGCTCTCGCAAGCGCCGGCGGGAAGCAGTGTAACAAGTATGGTTGTGCAGCACTCTTATTGTTCTTTTCTTTAATTTGCATTATTTTAAGTTATCGACCTTGCTCGCGTGGTTGTTACGAACCGGGCCCTCTAGCTCTCTGAGGTAAAATGCCAGCCAATGCTCTAGCTCTCTGAGGGTAAATGCCAGCGGATCCCTCTTGTTCGTGGAGGTTAAACCAACGTACTATGTATAACGAGTAGATCTTCACTCTTCTGAAGCTGGCACACGTACCGTACTTCAGCTTGGGGGGGTTGTGGTCAGTTATACTCTATTTAGTTTATTTAACGTTTTTAGGTTTATTTTAAAAAGGGTCATAAACTCTGGTTTAGGGTTTATGATCAATTTTATATACATGTCAAATATTAGAACCTATGGTTCATTTTATATTTCAATAAAGATACAACGTCTCCCCTTGTAAGAGGGGAGTACGTTGAGATATTGTTAACTCGCGTATTAGACTACAATGGTAAGTATCTAAAAATGTTATGTCAATAACTGTTATATATATATATATATATATATATATATATATATATAGCTGTTATAATCTGAACAATCATATCGGATGCTGTTGCTACGACCATTACTGGTGGTATAACTACCTATCTGTACCAAGCATTAGATAGAAATAGTGATTGATATATCGTATTTATATACATGTAAGTACTTGTTATACCGATACATACTCGGAATATGTTATTGCCTATATCATTGTAAGTCTTGATTATTATTGTTGGTTATTGTAGGTGTATATATGTATGGTGTATATCATAGTACCATCACCTGGAATTCAATCTATTGTGCGTGCAATCTCTTATACTATAGCGTATGTTGTACGTCCTGTTATTGGCATCCTATATCATTCTATTATATACTATGATATTTA